TTCACATGTTGTATCCGTCAGATACAATACAGAATATAAGTTCTCACAAGACAGAGGCTGGGTTTTTTTTCCCCTTGGTATCCCTAGCATGGCGCCTTGCATATTGTAAGTTCTTCATAAATGATCGTTGGATTAAATTTGATTTATGTAAATTGGAGGTATTTGCAGAGCAAACACCTTTTTCATAGGTTACTGAATAACATAACCTTTGAGTGCATGCTATTTCTCCAGGGAGATAATCAGGTGATGCTGAGTAAAGGTTATTTGGAGCCAAAGGGCATTCAGGGCTGTGGTGGTTGGTAAACTGAATCCAGTTTACTGAATTCAGCTGAAACTTAGCTGGTAAACTGAATTTAGAAAGGTACCAAGAGACTGCAGAGGAGGGGTAAGTGTAAGCTTTAACCCACAGGACCTGAAGAGGGGTTCAGCAATGCCCTGTGGGTACCATTGGCAGGCCAAAGGCATAATAAGCAAAGGAAAGAAAAGGGGAGGAGGAAAAGAGGGCAAGACACAGAAGAAAAGGAAGTGAGAGAGATGAGGACGAGGAAAGGCAGTCAGATTTCAGATATGCAGCCTTGGATACTGAGATCAAACCTGATCAATCCCAAAATGTTAAAATTGAAAGGGCACTGGGGAATCCTTTAGCCCAGGTATTTCCATACTTAAGGCAGGGGCTGGACCCTTCACTTTGCTTCACCAGCAACACTTTGGAAACAAACAGCTACAGTCAGATCTTTAAAAATAGTTACTTAAAGCACATCTTACCAAATAATAATAAGCTTAATTTTTCAAATTTTTGGACAATATCTCAGACAAATTAAATTCATACCTAATCTAACAATAGTTTTACTTGATGAGAAAAACGTCATTGTTTCTGATCAATAAGGATTTTGGTTGTTGGGAACAAGCAGATGCAATAGCTCACCTTGTGAGGTGGAACGTTTTGGCTTGGACAATGAAGAGGAAATGGTGTAAGCCAGAATTTTGACAGACTTCAGTTTAACACACTAAATTTTTTAAAAATCAAGAGTTTTATTTGTAAATGTCTTTGCAATTTTGTCAGAATATGGAACTAGTTTGTTTTTTTTTTTTTAAATTTGGTAACATACCCAAAATGTACTTCCCAACCATTAGAAGAAATGAGGAAAGCAATGGCCACAAATGTGATTCTGCCATATTGGATATTTAGTACTAGAACATGTGGACATGTCTCTTTCATCTCCCAACTATTATAATTATCCATAATGGGCAGAGGTACAAAAGAATGTATATCTAAATCCCTAGTGTTACAATAGAGATGACTCTGGCTTCCAAATGTTATCCTGGCTGAGCTTATGTTCCTCCAAGATGGAAAAGCTTCTAGCAGGGCCCTGTGACTGACTATGTCATCCCAGAACCGGTTGATTATCAACAGCCAGAACAAATGAGACATGCTGAATTTTGGGGTGACAATAACTCTCAAAGACCATCAGTCACAGTGAAGTCCCTCTATCAGTGAAGTCTTAGGTCACTGAAGAAAGTTTGGGGTTCTTTTGTGGGTTGAGGGGAGAGATGAGTTATGATTTGCCTTTTAATTTGTGAGAAACTCTTGATTGGAAACTCCTCCACAGATCCATCTGTAATTTTAAGTATTGGGCTCACTGAGTGATTTGTCCCTGAGAGGACTTGGTCTCAGACCTTCCTAGCTCCAAGGCTGGTGCTCAATTGATTTATCAGAAAGCACCTATTAAGGACTTACTATTGGGGCAGCTAGATAGTACAGTGGATAGAGCACCAGACCTGGAGTCGGGAAGATCTGAGTTCAAATCCAGTCTCCAGATGCTTACTAGCTGTGTGACCCTGGGCAAGTCCCTTAACTCCTGTTTGCCTCAGTTCCTTATCTGTAAAATGGGAGTACATTGGAGAAGGACATGGCAAACCACTCCAGTATCTTTGCCAAGAAAACCCCATGGACTTTGTCTGTGGGTCACATAGAGTCAGGCACTACTGGACAACAACAATAATAATGTTCTAAGTACTGGGACTACAAAGAAAAATGGAAAATAGGTCTGCCTACCCTACTGTGAAGGAATTTGCTATTCTAATGGGGACAACAACATATCCACATATAAGTACATCCAAGATCCATATGAAGTAGCTCCAGGGTAAATTTAGAGGGGAGGGCATTAGCACCTGGGTGGACTAGCAAAGGCCTCCTGTGAAAAGTGTCTTCTCAGCTGAGTCTTGGAGGAAGCCAGAGATTCTAGGAGACAGGAGTCAGGAGAGCATTCCAGACATGGGGGGCGGCCAGGGCTAAGAAACAGAGACAACAGATGGAGGATTGTATATAAGGAACAGTAAGGTCTATGTGGCCAGACCACAGAGGGCATGGACATATATAAGGGTAACAGTAAAGACTGGAAGGGGCCAGGTGTAGACCACTTTAAAGGCCAAACAGAGGAGTCCATATCGAACCTAGAGGCAATGAAGAGCCCCTGGCATTTGTTGAGTTGAAGGTGATGTGGTCAAACCTGTTCTTTGGGAAAATCACTTTGGTGGTTACTGGAATGGGGAGAGGCTTGAGGCAGGGAGCCCAATTAAAAAAAAATGATGACAATAATCTAAGTGAGGAGAGGTGATGAAGGCCTGACCTCAGATGGTGGTTATGTGAGTGGAGACACATTGTGAGAGGCAGAAACGATAGAATTTAGCCTCTCTTTGGATAATCTTTCAATATGAGAGGCAACATGGCCTAGCAGATAGAGTACTAGGCCTACAATTAGGAGGTTCTGATTTTGAGTGACACTTCTGATCCTCCCTAGATCAGTATGATCTTGGCAAAAATCTGAGCCTGAGTGCTCGCAGCTATGAATAACCACAGTATTTATGTCACGACATTGTTGTAAAAATCAAATGAGATGCTGTATTTTAAAAGTTTTGCAAGACAGCTAGGTGGTGCAGTGGATAGAGCTCTGGCCTTGGAGTCAGGAGGACCTGGGTTCAAATCTGGCCTCAGACACATAACACTCACTAGCTGTGTGACTCTGGGCAAGTCACTTAACCCCAATTGCCTCACCAAAAAAAGAAAAGTTTTGTAGTCCTTCAAAGCTTTCTATACAAACACACATACACACACTCTTTTGAATCTAACATTGTTACACAAGGACCCAAATTATTTAACAGGCAGCCTGCCGAGCGAGACTGACAGTCAACTGATTGGCCGAACCGGTTAAGGATCAATTGAGAGAACTCTAGATGTTTATCTTAAAAAGAGGAGGCTCAGGAAGTAGAGGCGGGAGCAATGGCTACAAGTCTCAAGGAGGCAAATTTAGACGTGTGTGTGTGTGTGTGTGTGTGTGTGTGTGTGTGTGTGTGTGTGTGTGTGTGTGTGTGTGTAGCTAAGGGAGGTTATTTATAACTGGGATGGGTTGCCTTGGGAGAGATCTCTAAACCAATATTGGATGATCTCTTGCTGAGTATGGCATAGGGGATCTTTTCTTGGGTATGGGTTGGGCTAGATGACTGACTGATGTAATTTCTTCCAGCAGCTAAATTCTGTAATTCCGTAATTGTGTGTCATAAAGGAACCCCAGATTTCCACGGGGATAACGTTATACAAAATGCCCTACGCTTGGCTGTAAATCTAGTTTACATACGTTTTTGGACAAATTCATTTGTGGATTCTAGACAACAAAGCAGCTAACTTTTCAATCTTATGTATCATAGCATGGAAATCTATCATTTCTATCGATATCTCTTCTAGGTATTGATTGGAGAACACCTACATTAGGCACTACCAACCGAAACAACAAAGCTGATTTTGGTATTCATCCACCATCCCCACTCTTACAGTTTGAGAAACCCTGATCTAATCCAACCCTTTCATTTTACAGATGAGGAAACAGCTGAGAGGCTTAAGTGATTTCCTTAACTATCTATTGCCTAAGTAGTATAATTTCAAAGGCCCCAAGAAGGCTCCCTTGCCACTTCCCTGCTTACCAGCTAATACCTGAAATCCCCTTAAATAGACTAAGCTTTTCTTCCCATAATTAGAAAAAAAAGGGTAAAATGCATATCCTTCTAGAGCAGCTATCAAACTTGCCACAGTAAGGTGTGAAAAATAATTTTAATTTTTTTCTTGAGGGAAGATACATAAGAGAGGAAGGAGGGGATACTACAAGGATATTGGGTGCCTAAAAGGCAAAGGAGAGGGCAGGAGGCAGAGAGAGCAAAGGATACAGAAAGGCAAAGCTAAGGAAGAAATATGGTCTAGTCAAAGTTGTGCAGAATTTGGAGGCAGAGGTCCTGGGTTCAAATTACAGTTCTGCTGCTTACTGTCTAGGTGACATTAGACAATTCCCTTACCCTTACTCTCTGTGAACTTTGTTTGTAAAATAAGGGGGTCCATCTAGATGGTCTCTAAGGTCCCTTCCAATTCTATATTTATACTTTAATGGCTTTTCCATTCTTCAGACTTTTGCTTAAGACCACCCTGGGAGAGGGCCCTTTTGAGTGTTCACTGAAAAATTTAGAGGTGCTAGGTTGGGGTAGGATTCTCCCAAGATTCAACATCTGCAATGTATCTAGAACTTTCCCCCCTTTGGCACTCACTGCTACCACCCTAGTATCAGTCCTCATCATCACTGTCCTGAATTACTATAGCAGCCTCCTAACTAGGCTTCCTGGTCTAGCCCCACATCCGTCCTTCACACCAAGCTCATTTCCCTTCCAAGCAGATCTGGTCAGCTCAATGCCCTCTGATGCCTGCTTACTGAATGAATTCAAGGCTGTCCAGACACTCAAGGCTCTCTAAAACCTTCCAAGCCTTTCCTTGCACTCCATCTCATGTACACCATGATCCAGCCTGTCCCCTGATATGCAGCACTTTCCTTCGTTCTTTGCCTTTGTTCATGCTGTGCCTTATGCTTGAAAATCCCTCCCACTTTCTACCCCTCACCAACTTGGCAGTGTGGCATGTGGACTTAGGATTTGTCCTGTAAAATTTGGTTTCAGTCCAGGCCACACTTAAGGATTTAGAAGGCCACATGTGGCCTTAAGGCCACAGGTTCCCCTGCTCTAGACTGTACATTTCAGAGCAGATACGGAGACAGTTTCTTCATCAGATATTCCTTATACCAAGGCAATTATAGATCCAGTCTAAAACCAAACCAAAAAATTGGTTTTCACTGTTTGAGATTTTTTTTTTCCCCGTCTGGCAGCAATCATTTTCTCCCTAGCCTGAACTGAAGAAGTAGGAGGCATCAATTAGGAGGTGGGACAGAGCAGCTCCTCCCCAGCTTTTTTCTGGCGTTGGCAGCAGGGCTGTGTCCTTCCTTGTCACCACCAGTGAGTGCCAGAGGAGGACAGCACAGCCTACAGACCAGAAAATGACAGATCTAGAAAGGAGGTGAGTTCAGGGGCTTTCTGGCCCCATGTCCCTACAGTCCAGCTCCTCTCACTGCTATAGACTGAAGAAGGCCTCTCCAATCTTCGGCCGTCCTCAGTATCTGATAGTGGGTAAAAAGGGAAAGCCCAGCATCTGGTCTTCCTGAGTCAACTCTGACCATCTGCTGAGCAGGCTGTGAGAGCTATTGTGGAAGGAATTTGTACACGGGGTAAGTAGGGAGTGTTCTGGACAGACCTCTTCTCACTTTAACATGTTGTTGATCTGCCAAGTGAGTCCAAGATTCTCTGGTTCTCTGATGGGACCAATGATTCCTCCTCTCCCATTTTCTCTGACAGGTGGAATTCCATTTCCCCAGAGGATCTCTGCAGAGAAAATGACCAAGAAGAGAATTGCCGTGATTGGGGCAGGTGTGAGCGGGCTCATCTCTATCAAATGTTGCCTGGAAGAAGGTCTAAAGCCAGTCTGCTTTGAAAGGACTGATGACATCGGAGGGCTTTGGAGATTTCAGGTAAACTGCCCATTTTCTTAATCTTTGAAGAGTTCTCTTTATCTGGGCACGGTGACTGTGGTAATGTAGTGGTGGGTGCTACTCCTGCTACCTGGGATAATTCCCTGAAAGAATCCTCTACCCAAAGCTAATTGCCTCATTCCCAGCCATTAACTCAGATGGATTGGCAGGGAAGATCCCTTCAGAGAGGTTCTTCCGAAACATTTTGACTCCCTTTGACAGGTGCAGGAATCCCTCAGGCTCAGTTGACCACAGCAAGCTCCTCACTCCCACCCAGTGCATAGAAGATAGAGGTAGTGATCAGGCTGCCAGAGGAGCTATCCCATGTCTCTAGGGCTCCTACCTCAGTTTTCCCAGGTGAAATAATTAATAGCACATTTGTAAAGCTTGAGGTTTCAGGTTGAAAAGTGTTCTGAGATGATATATTATTATAAAAGCATAATAGAATTGTGGCAAGCTTAATGTCCTGCCCCAGGAGAAAAGAACATCAGTGGTGATTATTCATACCTCCTGATGATCTGCCTGAAGGAGAAACAGACCACACATGTATTCATCCACATTGAGGCCTCTGGCTGGAATTCCATTTTTCTTTTCCATTCTATCCTCATTAGGACCTTCATCCTCTTAGCAATTCCCTTCCACTTTCGTATACTGACTTTACTTACCCTGCCTCCCTTTTCTCTCTTCTCTCGCAGCTTCCTGTGCACAAATAAGGTCCCCATGCCTAGGTATAAAACGATATTATGGGTCTGACTGAAGGTTCACCAGTAAAGGCAACTAGATGGTGTAGTGGATAGAGCACCATGCTTGGAGTTAGGAAGATATGAGTTCAAATCCAGCCTCCAGACATTTACTAGCTATGTGACCCTGGGCAAGTCACTTGACCCCTATTTATCCCAGTTCTTCATTTATAAAATGGGGACACACTAGAGAAGGAAACAACAAACCACTGCAGTATCTTTGGCAAGAAAACCACATGGATAAAGTCCTGGGATCACATAGAGTCAGACCTGATTAAACAACAACAACAGAGATATAAGGGATTGCTAAACCCAGTAGCAATAACCCCTCTTCTGCCTCAGCCCTCTGACTCCATGACATCTCACCCCAAACACTTATGTAAAGTACTTGGTCATCAGCACAGTTGTTAAACACCATTTAAGAGACAACAAGATATTTGAAATGACTTGGGCTTGGGGCAGCTAGGTGGCTCACTGGATAGAGCACTAGCCCTAGATTCAGGAGGATCTGAGTTCAAATCCAGCCTCAGACACATAACACTTACTAGGTGTGTGACCCTGGGCAAGTCACTTAACCCTAATTGCCCAACCCAAAAAAAAAAAAAAGAAATGACTTGGGCTCTTAGTAGATCACAAGTGATATTTTGTACCAGTTTTTAAGAGTGTAGCTGTTTCATCTATATTGGATCATGACTAGTCCTCTTGGGTCTGATAGTGGCCCTAAAGGAAATGGTAGAGTGTCAGTGAGAAGTTCTCTCCTGTCTACTCTCCACCCTCTCCAATCAGAAGGAGGGAGGGTCCCCAAGGGAAAGGGGAGCTGAGGACATGTGAGTTTCAGAGTTATTTCATCTTTCAAAATGATGAGTTTCTGGAGATCATGAAGTCCAGGAAAGCAGCCAGGTCAGAAATGACAGAAGACCATTTACTGATGCTCTTCCAGCTTTTTCTGGAACATACCAGATTCATCTGCTTGACAGACACAGTTTCAGCAGCCAGGTCCTCCAGCATCGTCTAAACTCAGCTCTCCAGCCCTATAGTTCCTCTGTAGCACCAAGCTGTAGTAGAAGTATTATCTGTGCCTGACCTGTGGCAGAGCCTTCTGAGCTTGTGTCGGTCTGATCAGCCGCAGTCAGACACACTGTACCTTGACTCCAATATAATGATGTCATTTTGGTCCTCTTTGAGAACCGAAGGACAATAACAAACCAATCAACTAGAAGCAGGAAGAGAGGAAGAAAGAGAAAGAGGAGGAAAAAGGAGGAGAAAGAAGAAATCTAACTATGGTTTGCAAAGAACTTTACATGTGTTAACCAATTTGATCTTCACAGCAATCCTGTGAGGTTGGTGCTGTGATTATCTCCTTTACAGCCAAGGAAACTGAGGCTGGGAAAGGCTAAGGGACTTGTGTAGGGTCACAGCACTAGTGTCTGAAGCACGATTTGAGCCCAGGTCTTCCGGACTCCAGGTCCTGCACTCTATACACAGTGCCATCTAGTTTCCTCCATGCTATAACTTTTTCAGCTGGAAAACAACCTCAGGCAAAAAGTGTTGCCCCAATCTGGTGAACATCTAGCTTCCTCCCCCTGGTCACCGCACACACACACACACACACACACACACACACGTATGTATATATACGTGTACATATACATATATGTATGTGTGTGCATGTGTATATACATATATATATACATGCATACGTGTGTGCGTGTGTGTGTGTGTGTGTGTGTGTGCGCACAGGTTTCCCCTTTTGGTTTCCCCTTCTTCACTTGCAGAGATTTCTTGGAGAGAGTTAGCAAGAGCACGCTGCTGTCCCATGCCTCCCTTTTCTAGTTAGCTACACCTCCCTACAGACCTCAAAGTTTCCTAGCAGGGAATCAGAGAGTTATTTCTATTAACAATTAATAGAAACGAGCTTGGGGGGGTTGGTAGGGGAGAGAAGGTAGGGGTCACAGGTATCACAGATAAAGAAAAAGGGGGACTAGGGGAGGAAACAGAATGAGCAGGCAATCCCAGCATGGCGCTCTTATCTGGGACTGGGGAAAGGCAAAAGCTTTTCAAAACTTTTATTGGTAATAGCAGTACTTTAGGACCTGTGCTTAGTGTTTTATTAGGGCATGGCTGCACATTTCTGTAGAAGCTCAGAGCTTACGATTGCAGAGTCTTTCGTGCTGTCTTCATGGGCACAATGGAAAGATGTGAGTTAAATGATAGTACGATTGGGTAGATTGAGAATCCTCTGAATGACTGGACCAAAAGCTTAGTCATTAGTGGGTTGATCTCTTGGAGTGAAGTTTCTAGAGTCACAGGAAGGTGCCCTTGACCCTGTGCAGTTGAAAATTGTTATTAGAGGCAGAGATAGCTTAGATGTCATGCTTACCAAATTGCAGCCACTTTAAAGCAGAAAAATAAAACTAACATTTTAGATGAAAAAGTCAGGCGACAAAAAGGCTAGGTTATTGGGGTGAGTCATTTAAGATGATATTTACAGGAAATAAATGTACAGTCCTACCGTGGGGTTCAAAAAAATCAGCTTTCGAAGTAAAGGCAGGGAGCTGCAACTAGACAGAAGTTTGTGTAAAAAAAAAAGATTGGGGGAGAGGGAAGGTTTAATGGAACTTAAGATCAATCAGAGTCACCAGTGTGAGTTGACAGCTAAAAAAATGAATTGTTTTAGGCCGCCACTGAGAGACATAGTACTCAAAATAAGGGAGATGATAGTATCTGTCCTGGTTGGACCAGTTCAATTCTACAGTGATTTGATTTTGACTTATCATCTGTTAGTAGAGAATACACAGTAAAATAAATGAGTGAATTGAATAAGCCAATAAATAGATAGGATAATAAGACAAGAAATAAGCAAGAGTGATAAACTTAGAAGTCTGAAAACCTAGTTTTCATTCTTTTCTTAGACACTTTCCACCTGTATGCCCAGAGATAAATCATAGCCTCTCAGAAGCTCCCAGTTTCCTCATCTGTAAAAAATGGGGATAATAATTTTACTACCTACCTTGCAGAATTGTGGAGAAGGTACCTTCAAACCTTAGGGAATGATATGGATGTCAGTCACTCCAGTGGCTCTCTGAACTCATCCATGTGGGCATTCTCTCTAACACAGATTACAGTGCATCCATGTCTGCGCATCTCATACCAATCTCATCCAAGTCCTCCCATAAATTCACCAAAATACCAGAGGCCTTCCTCATTGTCTTGGCACTGCATGTTTACCAGTGGAAACATGGGCTCTCTGTATGTTATCCCTCGCTCTCATTACAACAATGACTTGGCCCATTTGTTTTCCAATCATACATTTCTCTGATGACAAACTTTACATCATAATTATTTTTCTGTGATGTGTTACTACCTGTTCATCTCCACTGTGCAAATCTCCAATGCGTCTGGACGGCCCTCAACCTCAGATCTGTGGTATCTCTAGTTTTCTATGACTCTCAGTCAGACAAAATATGGGTGTTTAAAGGGAGCAACCTGAAGTCATTTTTTTTAAATTATGCAATTTCCCAAAGGCAGTCCATCCTACTTCTCTCTGCCTGTTCCCATTCTGAGCCCAGCCCATTATGCTTTTGCAGTACCTATATAAAATATGTGTATGTGTATACTGAGTGACTGGTTCTATGAGCTATCCATCCAACTGCATATCACAGGGTGGACAACATTCACTCTTCATCCACTTGGCTTCTCCTGTGCAGAGGATTAAGTCAAATTCTTTTGATCATTATTAATAGTAACAATAATAATAATAATTATAATAAATAACTAGTATTTATATAGCACTTTAAAGTTTTCAAAGCACTTTACAAATCTTATCTCATTTTATCCTCATGACAACTCTGGGAGTTCGATGCTATTATTACTTTTACATTACAAATGAGGAAACTGAGGCAGATTGAGGTGAAGTGATTTATTCTAAGTGTCCGGTGCCGGATTTGAACTCATGTCTTCCACATTACAACTCCACACCATAGCCACTGTGCCACCTAGTTACCTAGTTGATTGATAGTGGATCTTGTGAGGGTGTTCAGGACTTGGTTGTGTCATCCACAAAGGGTAGGACTGGAGGACCTCCCCTTCTATAAGGAATCAGTTCCTCTTCATCTTGTACTCTCTGTTGGATTTTCTCCTTGTCAGGGACAAACACCTTTAGTGACTACATGTTCCTACTTTATGCATTGCTTGATAGTAACAATCAGAGGTTCATTGAACAGAAGCAGAGTTGTTTCATCTTTCAAGAAAACTTGGATGATTCTTACATGTGTTTGTTTGGATGATGTCCTAGATTTATGTATTGATTATTCTCATAAAAATGTTATATAAATGATAAAGTAGGAATGTGAGTCAGTAGTAACTGATATTCTCTGTCACCTTTTTTTAAATAATGAAGAATGAGAATTTTTTTCTTATCTTTGCTACCATCCCCTCTTTCATATATCTTGAGAAATGATCCTTCAGTGCACTCAAAATTACTGCTAGCACAGACCTTCTCTGGGTATATCACTATCGTCCAGTTACTTTTCCCACCTTTGTCTTACTCCACACCATTTGCATTTCTTTATATCACATAGCCAGGACCCTGACACTAAAGTCTAAGCATACTATTCTGTGGAAGAGGGATTTGATTTGTATTACTTGGCCCCAAAAGCAGAACTGGGAGCAACGTGTAGAAATCACAGACACACAGATTTAGACTCAATTTAAGGAAAAACTTCCTAATGGTTACAGCTTTCTAAAAGTGGAATATACTACTTTGGGACAAAAGAAGTCCTCCTTCATTAGAGACCTTCAACTAAAAGTTGGATGATTGTCATTAAGATGTATGTATGTTATGTATACATGTATATATGTATGTGTGTATATATATATATGTATATGTATATATACATATATATATTATACACACACACACACACACACACACACACACACATGTATGTTGGAGACAATCAGGGTTAAGTTAGTTGCCCATGGTTACACAGCTAGAAAGTGTATGAGACCGGATTTGGACTCAGGTCCTCCTGACTCCAGGGATAGTGCCCTATCAACTGTTCATTTTTAGAAGAGACTCCTATATAAATATGTAGCACGGGCCCCACATGACTCTAGAACCTTCAAGTTCTGTTATGGGGTATTTGGGGTAATACTAGTTATGAAAATATCACCCAAGCCTCTATCCAATATATCTTTTATGATCAGATCAAGAATCATACACCATCAAGTCACAAAATAGCAAAGAGAAATTTTATCTCCATAGAAAAGTGATAACATCTTCTATCACTTGGGGGAGTGGGGATACTCCACAGACAACTCAAGCCCCTAGATTTGTATTTCAACTGGAAGGCTTCTAATGGCTCCGTCTTCCAAGAGTCTGTGTCTCAGACTCTTGCCCTTATCTGCCTCTGCCAGTGGGCATGCCTGCTCAGGTCTCTGGGCTTCATTCAGGTCTGAATTAAACTAGATCAACTCTGAATTTTCATCTACTTCTGAAATTCTCTTGAGATTCTGCGACGCAGACTGGAACTGGTCTTTGTGAGTTCGTGTGATCAAAATACTGTATTATCGACAAATTGACAATGAGCCTCTTTGAACCAAGCTAAGCCAGCCCTCTGACAACGGACAGACAGGCAGACAATCTATTTCCAGACACACATTTAGACAGCTTTTCTAGCTTGGTAAGACCTGGCAGAGCTCATGTTCAGCTGCCATAGACTTTAAGAAACCCAAAGTTGCCTCCTATGCCAGAACAAGTCATCAGAAGATAGAAAACTAGGGAATTGTCTAACAAATTATTATGTGAGATTTTTGTGGGGAGGATACTTTTTACTGACATATCTTAATTGTTAAGCATCATAGTCAATGTGATATTTACACTGGCTTTTAAAAGATGGGAAGGAATTCAGCAGTTACAGAGAGGAAGAGAAGACATTCTATACCTTGGGAATGGTGTGAGCCAAGGCACGAGTCAGGAAAGCATAGGACATCTTCAGGGTATAGAGTAGCTAAGTTTGACTGAAGTGTGTTGTTCACAGAGGGCAATGTAAGTTGGGGCTAGAAAAGTTGGGAGATTTCAGATTGTGGAGAGCCTATATCCTTCCTTCCCAAACTACCATGTCTATTGTATATATGCTTGTAGATGCACATGCTATCTCCATGTGCCTATTCCATTTTTGTCATTGTATCCCCAGTACAAAGCAGAGTACATGGCACATAGTAGGTGCTTAATAAATGCTTATTGATTGAGAGGAGGAAGTCACTGTTTGTGGGGGGGGAGTATAAAGAAGATCCTGAAGGCCAGAGAAAAACCTTACTTCGTTTTTTCACAAGGCTACCCATGCACAGTACTTTCATCCTGTCAAACCACATTAGGCCATACCTGGTAATGGCAACATTACCAGTTGACCAATTTTCCCTATTCTTCTTACTATTACCAACCAGAAAATGAGCAGGACATCAATCATCAATCATTCTGATGCTGATGTAGCATCTCTTTCTCAAGAAGTTCAATTTTGTTTGTAGGCATCATCTCACTTTTATAAAACTTTTTATGTAATGGAGAGAATCATTCCTTTCTTCTAACTGCCCCTTCCTCCTCTTGGCCCACGTTTCAATAGAATATCAGATGAGACTGAGGAACAAACAGGATACTTAGCTACCCAATGTTCGATCTTTCTGATCACTACTTCTTCCCCAATGTCATTGGCTGTCTAGGAAAGATGACGTCCCCACTAGCCGTAAAGGAAAGTTTCCTCCATGCAATAAATTCTAAGGACTTGATGTGTATTTCATCTTTACTACAGGAGAATCCAGAAGAAGGAAGGGCCAGTATTTACAAATCGGTGATCATCAACACCTCCAAGGAAATGATGTGTTTCAGTGACTACCCCATCCCCGATCACTTTCCTAACTTCATGCATAACTCTCAAATCATGGAATACTACAGGATGTATGCCAAAGAGTTTGATCTCTTAAAGTATATTCGTTTCAAGGTAAGAGGTACTTGTGATTAGAAGTAATATCATATTTGCAGGTATTTGTGTGGGATAGATATGACTGCCAAGGACATTCTTCTAATCCTCTTATTGGAATGTTCTTGCTATATTCATACTTGATGCTTGTCAGAAAGACTATAAAGGGAGGGCAAAGGTCTTTATCTCAGCAGTGCGAGAGTAGTTTGTTATATAGGAATGTGGTTCTAAGGGCACTCAGCAAATGCCAAAATAAGAGCGCCTTATATTTATAGAATGCAGTATTTTTAAGCACTTTCGCCTCTTGTTATTCCATTTGATCCTCACAATGGTGCTGTGAGGTAGATAGATTAGGAGTTAATTTCTTCATTTATAAAATAGATTCTCAGACACAGGAAGGTTAAATAACTTGCCCAAGATCACACAGATGGTGTGATTATAAATAAAACCCTGTTCTTTTGACTCCTGGCCTAATGTTCTTTCTTCTGTACCATGCTGCTTCGTATTATTAAGCAGTAATACAATATAACTTTATAGCTACCATTAAATTTCCAGGTTAAGTCATTTATATTCCCATTGATTCTTCCCTCTTGTCTTCTACTGTTCCATTTTGGGCTGACATCTCCATGAGAACACTTGTGTGTCATAGCCATGAGTGCCCTACCAGAATACTAAAAGTACATCTGGTTAGGCTCTTAGATGTTTCCTGGGGTGGGGTGTTACAGCCCTTTCTCCTAATGAAATCTCAACTTGACCTGAAGAGCTGGAGGTATATAATAGCAATCTTAAAATGTGGATGAAATGGAGTATTCTCTTTCTCATAGTTGCCCATGAATCTAAGAACTTCTAAGAGACAGTGAAGGCCTTAAACAAATAAAATGTATTATTTTCTGAATTTCTCTCTACATTTTGGAAGGAAACCCCTATATACTAGTGATATATCCCAGGATCTATGAATTTATAGTGTTGAGGAGGATATCAGAAGGACCTCTGAGTATGTAAGAGAGAATGACAAGTAGAGTGTCATAAAATAAGAGGACACAGACTTATTTTCATTAACCTGTGACCAATAAGATAAAAAGGTTCACAAAAAGGTTAACTAGACCCTCAGAACACTCAACTATATTTTCAATGGTCCACGCATATTGTAGGGGTGGAGCATGTATGGAAAGAGGAATCAGTGTTTTTAGGAAAGTTGGAGGGGGGGGGGTCAAAAATTAGTTATCATGGTCAAGTTTGATTTCCACCAGAATCTAAAGATGATTCAACATTAGGAAAATTATTAGCATGATTTTAAAGAAATAATGATGTGATTATATCCATAGATGTTGAAAAAACTTTTGACAAAGTAGAACATTCATTTCTAAATTCTAAAAACCCTAAGAAACATAGGAATGAAGGGGCTATTTTTTAATATCATAAAAAGTTTATCTAAAGCCATGAGCTAGCATTTTTTCATGGAGAAATACTAGAAGTGTTCCTAATAAGTATAGGGATAAAGCAAGGATGCCCCCCTTTTGCCACTACTATTTGATATAGCTCTAGAAATGCTAATGATAGCAATAAGATAATGAAATTAAAGACATCAACATCAAAAAAGGAAAATAAAATTATACTTATCTGTAGATGGTACCATATAAACTCCAGAGAATCTGCAAATAAAGTAATTTAAACAGTAAATAGTTTCCAAAAAGTAGCAGAATACAAAATAAATTCACAAAGGTCATCAGCATTTCTATATTATAATAATAAAATCCAGGAAAAAAATGATAAAAGTAAAAATCCAATTCAAAATAACTATAAAAAGCATAAAATACTCAAGAGTCCAAATATGAAGGTATGCTCAAATTTATATAAGTTAATTACATAACATTACATTTCTTTACAGAAAGAAAGACAAATAATTATAGGAATCTTCATTGTTCATGATAGGGACTATGCCAATATAATAAAAGTGCTGAAACTACCTAAACTAATTTATGGATTTAGTGCTATGGCAATGATTTAGAAGAGCAAAAGGTCTAAAGTCTCAACAGAATAAATGAAAAAATAGGAATAAACAGGGACTTCTAGAACTCAAACAATGTTATAAAGTAGTAATCATCAACATTACTTAATTCAAGTTTAAAAAATAGAAAAGTAGATCAGTAGAATAGACTAAGTAGAAATAATACAAAACAAATTAATTCAGTAGTCCAGGGTTCAATAAATTCAATAACATAAATTATTTGGAGATGGACCTATACTTTAATAAGGCCTATTTTTTTACTAGGAAAACTGGAAAGTAGTTTGTTAAAGAAAAAAAAAAGTTCAGATCAGCATCCTATACTATACACCACAATCAGTTCTAAATGGGGACAAGACCTAAATATAAAAGAATATGTCATTTAAAATAGAGGAGAATAGGACATATCCTTCCAGCTATGACAAAATAGAAAATTCTTTATTATTATTTTTAAAATTAATTAATTTATTTTTAGTTTTCAACATTCACTTCCACGAGATTTTGAGTTCCAAATTTTCTCCCCATCTTGTCCCTCCTCCCACCCCAAGATGGCATGCATTCTGAATACCCCTTCTCCTAATCTGCCCTCCCTTCTATCTCCCTCCACTTCTCTTATCTCCTTCCCCTTCTATTTTCCTATAGGGAAGGATAGATTTACATACCCCATTACCTGTATATCTTATTTCCCAGTTGCATGTGAAAACAATTTTTAACATTTATTTTTAAAACTTTGGGTTCCAAGTTTTCTCCCTCCCTCCCTCTCCACCCACCCTTATTGGGAAGGCAAGCAACTTGATACAGGTTATACATGTGTGGTCATGCAAAACACTTCCATAGTAGTCATGTTGTGAAAAATTAAGTATATTTCCCTTCATCCTATCCCACCCCCCATTCATTCTATTCTCTCTTTTGACCCTGTTCCTCCTTAGAAGTGTTTGCTTCTGATTAACCCCTTCCCTCTATCATCCTTCTGCTCTCTTATCCCTTAAATCCCCCCTATTTTCCTGTACAAAATAGAAAATTCTTAAGCAAAAAAGAGAAAGGGGTGATCCTAAAAGAGAAAATAGATGATTTCTAATACATAAAATTTTAAAAGCATTTATATAAACAACATCAACATAGCTGAGATAGAAAAGAAAACTGTGATTTGGAGGAGAATCCTTACATTAGTTATCTTTGATAAAGTTCTAATTTCCAAAACATATAAGGAATTAATACAAATATATAAGACCAAGAGCTATTCCCCAATAGATAAACTGTCAAACAATATATACAATTTTCAAAAGAAGAATTGCTAACTTTCAACAACTTTATAGAAATGCACTCCAAAGTCCTAGTACAAGTAACTCTTAGGTTTTCCCCCCACAGCTGGAAATTTGGCAAAAATAACAAACAACATAGAAATAGTTAATTTAGAAAGACTGAAGGAAGTCAGGCACACTGATGCATTGTTGTTGGAGCTTTGAATTGGCCCAACCATTCTGGAAAACAACTTGGAATTATATGGAAAAGGTGATGAAATTGTCCATACTTTTTCATCTAGATATTCTACTGCCAAACATATTCTACAAGGAAGTCAAAGAAAGAAAAGTCCTACATATGCCAAAATCTTCATGACAACAGTTTTATGATAACATAAAACTAGAAACAAAGTGGATCCCCGTCAGTTGAGGAATGGCTAAACTAATCATTGTAGATAAAACTGACTTGGAATCATGAATGCTACCAGACATGATCTTTTGATTTTCTTAGTTTTCTGTTTTTAACAAGGAAAAATTCACTAGATAGGAGCAGGTTGGGTATATCTGGAAAAGTAATTAATAAATCATTTCAAAATAAAAATAATTTTAGTTTAAAACAAAGGAAAGAATGAGGGGCAACCTAGTCTACTCTTCTAGAAACTCAGTCTAGTGGATTAGTACTATCAGAATTTACACAACTTACACAACTTCCCTTGTGGAAATTGTCTCATTTTGACCTTAGAGAAAAAAAAATTATTAGAGTAAGGCATGAGACTCTAGTTCTTGCCCTATGATACAGTCCTCTCTGGGAGGCAGTTCTCATTTGGCAGAGTCCTTCAAAACTCATTCTCTCCATTCAAGGCTCCCCATTGCACTAGGGATGCCTTTGCTCTGTGAAATAAGAAATTTAACATTGTTATTGGGTATTCATCCCTTCTCAGGGTGGAAGTCTAACCACCAGTTTACAGCATCTATCCCATTTCTTTCCAGACTACTGTATGCAGTGTGAAGAAGCGACCTGATTTTCCCACTTCAGGCCAGTGGGACATAGTCACTGAATCTAATGGGAAGCAGGAAGTGAATGTCTTTGATGGAGTCATGGTTTGCACTGGCCATCATACCGATGCTCACATGCCCCTGGAGTGCTTCCCTGGTAAGTCAGCCAAGAAGAAAGGACCTTGAGCTTTCCATGTATGTTACCTGAGCCTTTCAGGTATGGACCTGGGAGGATTGGGGCCAGATTCCACCAAGCAGTATTTCCTGTAGAAATAGGATTAAGGCAAAGAAGCTGCAATTTACCCTGATTTTCTGTATTTTACCTTACCCTTGCCTTTGTCAAGGATTTAGCCATCAAGTCAACCACAAGGAAGATCAGAAGTTGACCTATATTATGTCACTATTACCTTAATATTCTTGGGGGACAAAAAGTAGTGAGAAGATGTCAGAGTTGCCTTTCCAACTGAGATATTGGGGCTTCGAGATATTAAAGGACCATAGATTTAGAACTAGAAAGAATCATACTATTGGATCCAATAAGATGCCCAAGGTTAAATAGGTAGGTGGCAGAGCAAGGGATTTGAACCCAGGTCTTCTGACTCAAAACCCAGCTCAACTATAACAAATATTTATGAACATATGTGGACACAAATGTATGTTTGTAGGAATGTAGGGGAAATTTAGAATTTGTCAGCTATGAAAAAAAAAATTTCTATGCCAGAGGAAACTATTGATTGATCTCTCTTTGGCCTCAGGCAAGATGGTTCAGAAGATCTACAGGAAAGGAATTCAAAACAGCAAAAGGAATGTAAGGGGTAAAGTGAAAGAGATGAGGGAAGAAAAGTTTCCCACAGAAGACAAGTGATAGTAACCTATTTGTGATGTAGGAGCCACAGAGCTCTGGACTGAGGCTAATGGAAAGCAGAACTAGAAGGAAGGTGCAAAAGTTCTATAAGGTAGCTGTGGTGTAGATGGGAAGAAAACAGACAAAGATATATGAGAGATAACCTTCTTGAGGAGTTTAGCCACAAAAGGGGGGAGGGTTTTTTTGAGGGTAGGGGTGACATGTTTGTGAGCAGCAGGGAAGCAGTTAGTAGACAAAGAGACTTTGAAGAGAGGGGAGAGAGATGAAATGATAGAGGAAGCAAACCGCTGGAGAACAGGTGAGAGGTCTTTCTTGACAAGGAGAAAGGCCACCTCTTCATGTGAAAGGGAACATAGGAGTGGAAGGCATCTGAGTAATGGGAGATGAGGAGGATGGCCAGTGTTCTCCACATAAAAGAACTAATATCAAACAAGCCGTAGACGGTCTTTGCCCTCCTCCATGAAATCATTCTGCTTTTTGTTCTCAGGGATAGAGAAATTCAAAGGTCAATACTTCCACAGCCGGGACTATAAAAACCCACAGGAATTTACTGGAAAGCGAGTCATCGTGATTGGCATTGGGAATTCTGGAGGAGATCTTGCAGTGGAGAGCAGCCAAACAGCCAAACAGGTTTGAGTCGGTTAATCATTTACTTTGTTTGACCCCAACCCATCATCACACAAAAAAAGGGCAATATCTGTGTCATCAAGCAGTCTAAATCAGCTTAGTCACCTGTGAATGGAGACAGCATCTGCGATCCAGATGACATCAAGTCAGTGATAATACCTTACATTTTATAGCAGAGGAAATCCTGAAAAAAGATGCAAATCGATGCTTTTAAATACCAGGATGAGTCTGTGACTAAAGAATACTTAACCATATTGTCAGAATACTTCAAAAGCAGGGAAAAAATATTATTATAGAAACTATGAGCTTCATAGTTCTTCAGACCTCATAATGAGGGCATGTAGCAATGTGAATGTTGTAGGTAAATAATGTCTATGAAAAATAAATATTCATTCTAGGTATTGACTTTCTATCATAAAATTATACTTTAAATTATGCACAGGAAAAACTTGGTGTTTTTTTTATCCTGTGGCATAATGCTTTTATATATAAAAAAGAATAATTTTTTAAAAAAGTAATAATCATCTCCTAATTTCTATGTTTTCTACACCCAGATTTTCATGTATTGGGTTGGATTGAAGTAAAGTTTACTAATGTAGTTTTTTACAAATGGCAGACTGAAGTGAAAAGTTAAGTCAGTCATTTATTAAGTGCCTGCCATGTGTCATGCACTATGCTAAGCCCAGAGGTGGGAGGAATAAAAAAAAAAAAAGACAAGAGACAGTCCCTGCTATCAAGAAGCCAACATTCCAGGGAGGGAAATGACTTGTAAACTATATACAAACAAGACTTATCTGGGATAGATTGGGGGTGACTATCAGACATAAAGCACCAGCACTAAAAAGGGGCCAGAAAAGAGTTCCTGTAGAAGATGGAATTTTATATTTAAGGACTTGAAGGAAGCCAGGAGATGGAGATGTGAGGAGGAAGAAGATTCTAGGCATGGGAGACAACCAGTGAAAATATATGGAGTCAGGAGATGAAGCGTTTTACATGAGGAACAACAAGGAGGCCAGTGTCCTTGACCACAGAGGGTAGCAAGGAGAGGCAGGTCACTGGTGGTTAAAGGCTACAGAGATTCAGTCAACAAGGATGAGGATTAAGAGAAGGCCATTAGATCTGGCAATTAAGAGATCCTTGGTAACTTTGGAAAGAAGTGGTTTCAGTTGAATAGTGAGGTCAGAAGACAGACTGCTGACAGTTAAGAGAGTGAGAAGAAAGGAGGTGGAGATATATGAGAGATGACCTTCTTGAGGAGTTTAGCCACAAAAGGGGGGAGGGTTTTTTGAGGGTGGGGGAGACATAGGCATGTTTGTGAGCAGCAGGTGAGCAGCTAGTAGAGAAATAGACTTTGAAGAGAGGGGAGAGAGATGAAATGATAGAGGAACCAAACTGCTGAAGAACATGGGATCACTTGTGCACATAGAGAGGTCTTTCTTGACAAGGAGAAAGCCCACCTCTTCATGTGAGACAGGAGTGAAAGAGAACACAGGAGTGGAAGGCATCTGAGTGATGGGAGATGAGGAGGATGGGAGAAGAGGAAGTTTTTGGCGAGTAGCTTTGACGTTTTTCAGCAAAATATGAGACAAGGTTCTCAGATAAGGTTTTGAGTGGGGGAAGGGGAAGCAATGAGAAGTTTGTGGAGGGCCATTGTGGTGAGTAAAATAGTGGGTCGATGAGGAAATTCTAAAAGGATCGCCATGACCTAGTTGAGATGATGTAGAAGATCTGTGGTGGGCTTGGTCAGCATGGTTTCATGGTTTTCTCCAGCTTCTTTCAGTAGCATGTGACTGAGAGCAAAATGGATGGGTTGTAATAGTCCAAGACTGGATGTTAGCAGAGCAAGATTAGTGATAAGTTAAAGGGGCAAGGGACTGGAGAGAAGAGCATAGACAGAAAATAGCTTGTGATGGGAGCAAAGGACAGATCCACTCAAAGCGATCTAGAAAAATTTGAGCAGGGAGAGAAAACATTCAAGGAGGGAGCAGGGATCATGAAGGCTTCATGGAGAACACAACATCTGAGCTGAGTTGGGAAGGAAATGAATGTTAATAGTCAGAGATGAGGAAGGAAGGGGAGGGAGAGCATTCCAGGAATGGGGGCATGTACGAGTGCACAAAAGCAGGCAAAGTCATATTGAGTTTGGAGAATGGCCAGTCACCTAGTTTGGCTGGAATGTGCAGTACAGGAATGGGAGGAAAGGGAAATCAGAGCAGAGTGGAGCCATGTTATAGAGGACCAGGCTGAGGAGGTTTTATTTTATACGAAAGGCAATAGGGAGCCATTGAATGTTTTTTAACAGGGGAGTCAATGTCCAGAGCTGAGTGTTAGGAAGATTATTTTGGCAGCTGTAATAAAGGAGGTTTTGGAAAGAGAAGAGAGGGAGGGAGTCCAGTGGAAGGTAACAAGGACTGAATTAGGGCAGTAGTAATAAGAATGGAGTAAGAGATAACAGAGGCAGATTGACAATGGGCACACACCACCTAACGAATTTCCTGAGGTGCTACTAGAAATTTGATTTTTGCATCAATCAATCAACAAGTATTTCTTGACATCTACTTTGTGCAAGGCACTGTACTAAGCTCTATGGAGAACATAAAGAAGTCTAAGACACAGTCGGCTCTCGAGGACCTTCAGTCTAGTTGGGAAAATAAAATATGAATGCATTTGTACAAAAAGATAATCATTCAACAGATGTGTATGTAGAGCCTATATCAGATTGCATGCAGTCTTGGGGAGGGAGGTGGAGAGGGAGGGGGAGAAAAATCTAAAACTCAAAAGCTTATGGAATTGATTGTTGATAAATAAAAAATAAATTAATAAAGTTAAAAAAGAAAAAAAAAGATAATCATTCAAAAGAGAAATATAAGAGATGTTACAATGAAATGCATAATCAATTCCCAGATGAATGATAAAGAAAATAAATGCTTTGGGAGTTATTCAGAAGGAGAAGTCACTAAGGGCTGCAGTGGTCTGGAAAGACATAATAGAGGCTTTCCTCCATGTTGAGTTGAATCTTACTAGGGTTTGCACAGGCAGAGAAAAGTGAGGAGAAGATTCTAAGTAGGGGAGATAGGATGAGTAAAATCAAGGGGGTAGAGTTGGTGATGGGAGAACGGTGAGTTGACCACTGTGGCTGAATTGGAAAGTTTGGAAAAATAAGTAGCTAAAAATTAGAATGGATAGGTTGGAGGTGGACTGTTGGAGTGTCTTGAATATCAAACGAAGGAGTCTGGATTTTATCCAGTAAGCAGTTGAGAGTCACTGAATACCTTTGAGCAAGGACTTGATAAAACTAGCATTCTCTTCTCCCCAGGTCTTCCTCAGCACTAGGAGAGGTGCATGGATACTAAATCGTGTGGGAGATAATGGATATCCTTTTGATATTATCTTCAATTCCCGATTTAGAAACTTGATCGCACAGTTCTTAAGCCTATCTGCAAAGAGTTCATATTTGGAAAATAAGATGAATGCAAGGTTTGACCATGAAATGTATGGCCTGAAGCCTATGCACAGGTATGCTCCTAGCCAGTCAAGCAGGAGGTAGGAGCTGAGTGAATGGAATAAAAACTGAGTGAGTGAAATAAAAAGGCATTCCCAGACTATCTGTGCTGCCTAGTTAATAAGTAAACAGTGGACCAGGAAGGTAATAAGTAAACAAGAACCAGTTTCTCAATGGCTTCTTCCACGGAGGTATAATATAGTACCCCAGAAGTCGTGGTAGAGAGTCCAGTGTGGGCCTATCGTCTCCTTATTTCTGGACACTCTATTTCAGTTCATGCAGCCCCAGTTCAATCACATTAGATGTATGTGTGTGTGTGGTGGGGGTGGGGGGTGGGGGGTGGGGTGGGGGGGTGGATGTGGGTGTGGGTGTGGGTGTGTATTTTGTTAGCTCAGTTGACTCACATTACTATAGTCCATGAGAACCCTCAGGATTTTTCCACAGTAAACTGCTTTCTAATCACATCTTCCCAGCACTGCACATTTTACAGCTGATTTTTATCAGCCTGCCCTCCAGGTAGATCCCATAAACAATCTCCAATAACTACTCACTCTTACATAATGTTTTAAAATTTTCAAATCACTTTCCTCACATTGACCCTGTTAGAAAGGTAATGCAAGTATTATCCCCATTTAAAAGATTAAGTGATGTACCCTAATCACACTGCTGGTAAGTGTCTGAGGTGATATTCAAACCCAGGTTGGTCCTGCACTCTATCTATTGCATCTCTTAAGAAAGACTGTTTCTTTTCCAGTCTTCCTCTTAATTTCCCCTTTTTGTCTTCAGGTTCTAGGCTACCTAAGGACTCCAGTAACTTCATCTTTTCTATCATGAAGTCCTAATTTATGCCATACTGGTATATTCTTTTTTTTTTTCAACCAAAGACAAGGCTTATTAGAACATCTGCCATATTGGCCAGACTCATAAGGAATCTGAACATTACTGAGCTTTTGGCTAGATTATAAGAATCTGAGCACCTTAATGGAGACAAGATGGACCTTATATACAGAAAGACTGTGGGAGGGATCTAGGAGTGGCCAAGAAGTTTGGGGTAACTGGAGGAGGGGTTTAAAGAAGATCTGGATGGCAGTGGGCAGTAAGCTAGGGTGAACAGAAGGCCTGGGACCTGGACCACGTGGCAAAGGGAGAATGGAGCCTAGCTAGGATTAAGGGTGAGAAGTGGCAGAGGGCCATTTGGAAGGTAAGACAGTGGAGAGGGCTAGGCTAGGTTAAGGGTAGATTTGCTGTAACCACAATGAAAGGCCAGTTGATGGGATTATAGCCTCAGGCAAATGCCAGAGATTTGGCATGTGGCAAAATCCAGGGTTTTTCCTTTTGGGGGTCCAAATCCCATCCTCATCATTCCCCCCCCCCAAACAAATGGAACCCAAATTCTTTTGGGGTAAGGGGCAAAGGCTTCTGAAACTGCTTCCTGCTGGCAAGAGGCATAGAGCTATCCCTGCTTCAAGGGGGTCCCAAAGAGGAGGTTGACTGGAACTGAGCACAGGCTGCATCCAGGGAACAATTGGGGGGGGGGGGGAAGACATTGGCTAGTACCCGCTGTTTGCTACCAACTAACTGTAGGTGAATGGCCTGTAGTCTGGAAGACACATATCTGACAGAAAAGACTGCAGGGCCCAGATATGACAGGATAAAACATCCTTAGCTCTGTTTGGATTCAGATAATTCAGTTTTCCAACTGGGTAGTATCAAATCCACCTCATAGCCAGACTTAGGAATAGCCTGGAGATAACATTCCTTTTCAAAGGAATATAATAGGGAAACTGAGCCAGGAGGATCCCATCTTAGACTGAGCCTAAAATTGTCCTCTCAGCTTTTCCCAATGCTGACTTCCCACCAGTATCTCATTCACTGAGTAGCTTGTGTCATTTCTCTCAGATGGTAGATTATTGATTATCAACATCAGACAACTCAAAATAAAATCCTAGGAGCTTTTACCTCAAACAGCAAGTTTTACTAATCACAGCTTAGGAAAAACTTTTCCAGGATTTACATGTCAAATTTAAATTTGTCCTGGTGTAAAAAACCCATCGTTAGAGATTATTTCTATACTTTCAAATTCTCAGCAAGACAAAACCCAAACAAGCTTTTTGGCAAGTTTACACATTAAAACAGTAACCAACAATAGCCAAATTATTTTAGCGGTAAACAAATTACGAAAAGTTGATTGATATAACTGATAAAAAAAAAGTTCACCAGTTTGAAACTTGAAAAAAACCCATTACCAATCAGGTGACTTCAGTTTTGTTAAATGCATTTCCAAATTAGTTTACACAGAGAATCAACATCTCATCATTAACAGTTAAACTACAACTTTAAAAGAGAGTGCTTACCCAAGTTCAGAGGCCATCTTCTTTACCTTGAGCAGGATGTGCTGAACCTGGGTGATCCTTCCAGGCAAAGGTTGCCCTAGGGCCCAAGACCATTGCCAGTGGGGTCCATGCTGTGGCTTCTACCCCTCCTCCTCCTTCCTTTCCCAGGTGGGGGAGGGCAAAATTAAAGGTGAGGGGAAAGGGAGAAAATCTCTTCTCCTATGATCAATCACAAAGCCTCCAGGATCTGCTAAGATGTTTTTAGCTGTTCTGACTTTTCCCTGTAACTTCCATGAAGGAGGATCCAGGAGTTTAGAGGGAAGGGAGTAAGTAAGCTACAGGGAACCAAAAAGCACCTGCAGTTTTCCCAATTCTCTAGCACCTGAGAGAATTGACAGAATTGGCCATAAGCTTTAGGATAGGGTGTCTGTCCTTGTCCTTTATGCTGTGGAAGGTGTACCCAGGTCCATAGCCTCAAACTGAACAGTGGATCGAGAGCTGAGAGTGTCAGGCTGAGTGTGAGACAGCCTTGTAACTGTCTGCCTGAAAAGCACCTCCAAGCTTTCCTAGGTGCTTGGAGAGTGACCCCAACTGAAGGGCAAGAAAAAAGCGGGGGAGGCTTACATACCTTCTAGTCTTGGCTGGAAAAGAACTTGGGGTTAGGCAGCTTCCTCATATGGGCCACCAAAATATTGAAGTTTAGGAGTTCAGGGGTGCTGGGACCCCAAAATCATGACACACGGGTCCTTCCTGAGTGTATTCGACCCAAGCCTTCTTTCAGCCAAAGACAAAGTTTATTAGAACATCCACCACATTGGCCAGACTCAAGAAATCTGAATATTACTGAGCTATTGGCTAGATTTTTTTTTTTGCTTTTTTTTGGGGGTGATGGTGGTGAGGCAATCAGGGTTAAGTGACTTGCCCAAGGTCACACACAGCTAGTAAGTGTTAAGTGTCTGAGGCTGGATTTGAACTCAGGTCCTCCTGACTCCAAGACCAGAGCTCTATTCACTGCGCGCTGCCCCGCTATTGGCTAGATTTTAAGAATCTGAGTATTTGGCTAGATTATAAGAATCTGAGTATTTGGCTAGATTATAAGAATCTGAGCCCATACTGGTATATTCTTACTGGACAGATGACCGAATAGCACCCACTGTTTTCATGTCCCTTGAGAAGTACTAGAATATTACTGAAACTCCCTCAACTCAAGCAAAATCTCGTCTACCTGGTAGTAAATAATCTTTGTCTCTCGTGTTCTGTCTCTTTTTTTTTCTCTTTCCTTTCTCTTCCTTCCCTCTTCTTGTTACCTCCACACAGAGCTCTGAGCCAGCACCCAACAGTCAGTGATGACCTTCCCAACAAAATTATTTCTGGCCAAGTGAAAATCAAGGGAAATGTCAAGGAATTCACAGAGACAGCCGCCATCTTTGAAGATGGCACAAGAGAGGATAACATTGATGTCGTTATCTTTGCTACGGGCTATAGCTTTGACTTCCCCTTCCTTGAAGACTCTGTCAAAGTGGTCAAGAATAAGGTTTCCCTGTATAAGAGGGTATTTCCTCCTAACCTGGAGAAACCAACACTTGCTATTATTGGCCTCATCCAGCCACTCGGAGCCATCATGCCCATTTCAGAACTCCAAGGCCGCTGGGCCACACAGGTATTTAAGGGTAAGTGATAATAGGCTTATGGAAGGAATCTTATTATACTGATTTCAAGTACAATAGCTTGGAGAAATGGCAAGAAATTGTTTGAATTTAATTCTATTTCAGACTCTCCTTACAAGCAGCTAGAAGCTACATAATTATTTACTGCTTAGCTCAGTAGTTCTTACCCTTTTTTTGTGTCGTGGACCCCTTGCCTTCTCAGAATAATGTTTTTAAATGCATATTAAAAAAAAACACGTGGGGTTACAAAGGAAGGTGATTATAATGAAATACTCTTATCAAGATTTTTTTCTTAAGTTCAACTCCAGGGTAATAATGACCTGACTTAGGTGGTTATATCTCACAAATTATGTATTATTTAACCAATGTTAAAGTATACAAAAGCAAAGTAGAGGCTTTCTACAAATACAGCATGAAACCTAGTTGAGCCAGGAACAAAACTCCAAAGAATTTAGATCTCCAGTCTGCAATTTTTCTTCATTCTCTCACTGCTCTTTTGTTATTATTTTGTTGCTATTGTTCAGTCATTTTAGGCATGTCCAACTTTCCATGACCCCATTTGGGGTTTTCTTGGCAAAGATATGAGTGGTTTGCCATTTCCTTCTCTAGCTCATTTTGCAAATGAGGAAACTGAGGCAAACAGAGTGAAGTGACTTGCCCAGGGTCACAAAGCTAATAAGTGTCTGAGGCTAGATTTGAACTCACGAAGATGTGTCATACTGACTCCAGGTGCAGCACTCTATTCACTGTCCTACCTAGCTGCATGTTTGTCATTGGTGGTATCATCACAATGATCATTATCATTGTATCAGCCATGTTTCCCTAAGTCATTTACTGAGAAAGTGATTTTGCATCCTTTGTTAAAAATAAGTGAGAACAAAATGTTATTAGCATGAAGACCACCTCTCATCATGGCATGAAAGTAGACCAGGGTTCGCAAAGGCTTTGCTAGAGAGCGCCTAAGCTGGGGTAGGGTCTATGGTGCTAGAAATCGTTTTTGTATGGGCCTAGAGACTATACGGTTTTCCAAGAATCAACCTAGCTAACTTCACAAAACCTCATCACCTACAGATTTCCTACAAGGTGTTAAATTCTTCCACCATAGTGATCCCTCATTGGAGTTGGAACAGGTATTGGCAGGAATATTTAAGAAAAGCCTTCTTCTCTTCCTCCTCCCATCCCCAATAAAGTTGTTCATGGTAGCACACAAAAAGCAGTAGCAGATGATTGGAAAGGATTGGGACATTTCCAAGATTCCAATTATTCCCCTACATCTGCCAGCAGTAGAATCATATGATGGATCATTTCCCCACCAATGGCATGGACCTGAAAGCCCAACTTCCTGTCAGACAGTCTACTTTTTCAAATGAGTTGATATAAGAGGAGAGCATTGTGTTGGAAGAGGGGTCCTTAACCTGGGCTTCATGGACTGTAGTTAGATTTCAAGGGGGTCTGTGAACTTGGATGGGGGGAAAATCATACTGTTATTTTCACTAACCTCTAACTAAAATTTAACATTTCCTTCAATTATTTAAAAACATTATTATGAAAAGAGGTCTGGCTTTACCAGACTGTGAAAGGCAAAAACAAGCTAAGAACAGTTGGGTTAGAACAATCTGGATTTCAAATAGATTGTTAGCTTGATTGTCTAGAACCTTTCCTCTGAGATAAATCAAATTGTTGATAGGATTAGGGAAACTGTCTAAACGTACAGGAAGGGGTCCACACTTGGGGCTAAGCTGGTAGAGAATAGGCCAAAGGAATATGTCCTGAAAATACCAGTGAATCTATGAACAAGTAAAACTATGATACTCTCTACACTCTGAAAAGAAATTTTTATGGGAGTGCTTCTCACAGAGTTTTAGCCTTACTCAGTGGTCAGCCATACAGAAGGGAATGCAGCCACCTTGGGAGGGTGGGGAAGCTGATTAGTGGCCACACCAAGGGGCAATTTGGAAAATAAAAATAAAAGTGAAAGGGCAGTTTAGAGAGATAAGGCCTCACTCCCTGGGGCTTGGCTCAGTCCAAGGATCAGACTGGAAGTTCTGCCATGACTGAATTCTGGCTGTGCTCCTGGCTTGTTGCCAGCAATCCACAAGCACTCTGCCCCTGACATTCCCTGACTGTGTGACCTTGGGTGGGCCATGAATTCTTTGGCCTCAGTTTCCTCATTTACAAAACAGGAACATGATTTTACTGCCTCTTCAACAGGAAAGCATTTAGGAAACTGCAAAACACTGTAAAGGTAGCCTAGTATTCCTACTTGACCAAGGGCCCAGGGCCATCCCTGTTTAACAAATGTGCAAATACCACAGTACTTATGATTTGTTGTTTTGAATCTACTTGCTTAGAATATTTAATTAAAAATATAATGGATACTGAAGTCAGAAGGACCTGAGTTCAAATCCAGTCTTAGACCAATCATTTGACACTTACTAGCTGTGTGACCCTGGGCAAGTCACTTAACCCCAATTGCCTAAAAAAAAAAATCAAGCTATTTGCAAACTTGTCAGGAAAGCAGAAAACCATCAACTTTAAGCTAATAGTAAAAGTGAGTTTTTAAAATATATATATATATATAATGGATATACCTGTCAAATTCATATATATATATATATATATGAATGTATACATATATGTATATATCTATGTGTGTATATGTGTATATGCGTATATGCATATATACATATATACATAATTTATATTTATATATGTATCTATAGTTTATATATATTTTATATATATATATTTTATATATATATATATATATATATATATATATTTTAGGCACCATTGACAATAAAAGGGGAGTTCAGATGGGGTGTGTTTGGGGTTAGGATTGGGGGAGGGAGGCTTTTAGGTTCCGTTGCTACTAAATAAACCCTAAATGGAGCATCCTCAGACTTCTGTGTTGCTTTCCTGAGTCAGCATGAAAGCTCCTTGGGAATAGGAATTGTTTCATTCCTTGTGTCCCCAGAGGCTAGCTGGAGGCCTGGCACACAGCAGGCAATTAACAAAGGCTTGTGGTTTATAAGAGTCATAAAACTAGCACTTCTCCTCACATACTGTGAGAAATTCATAACCACGCAGAGTGGAGCATTGTGTGTCATAAGTGTTCTCATGCAGTAAACTCCTAAGGGGTAAAATCTATGCGGTAGATTACCTAGAAATGTGGGTTCAAAGCTGCAATGCTTAAAGCCATTTCCTTTAGAATCCTCTTGACCTTTTTCTGACCTTGCCTCCTTGGTCTCTGGGACTTCCATCTCTAAAGTGTGTGTATGTGAGGGGTCCTTTGGCCTTTCACCTGAAAGATCTTTTAGAAGGTGAGGCTTCTGGGTCTCCTGAGGATTTAGGCTTAGACTGTGGTTTTACATAACTGTGCTCTTTTCCTCGCTGATGTAAAGCCCCATTGTTATTAGGTGGACTCCTATAAGGGAGCTGGTTTTTTTTCTTGAAGCCAAATATGGTAGTTCACATTTATAGAGTATTTTACTTTATTTTATTGGGGGGCAGGAGGGAGACAATGAGGATTAAGTGACTTGTACAGGGTCACACAACTAGTAAGTGTCTGAGGCTGGATTTGAACTCAGGTCTCCCTGACTCCAGGCCCAGCACTCTATTCACTGTGCCCCCTCGTTACCAAAGGACCAGGTAACCTCTCAGGGTTCTTCTGGGGATCAACCCGTATTATTGTGGTACCTGAAAGAAAAACTCTTGAGACACAGTCACTGGGGAACAAATATGAGATGCCTCTGAGTACAAACTCTACTCAATTTCCTTGCCTGACTTCTATCATATAGAAAAAAAAATCAAAGGAAATACTCACTGTACTCTGGCTTCACTAACTAGGAATACTAATAATTAGCATTGATGGAGTGCTTTAAGACTTGCAAAGCAGTTTGCAAATATCATCTCATTTAAACCTGGCGACAACCCTTGGAGGTAGGTGCTATTGTTATCTTAATTTTATAGATGAGGAAACTGGGTAGGGGCGGGGGAGTCACACAACTAACAGTCTTCCTCACTTCCAATATTCCATGCACAGTGCCACCTGTATTCCTAGGTACAGGACTACCTGGGAGTTACAGAAAAATAAACTCACAGTTTAAAACAAAAATCTACTTTTAAAAAAAATGTGTTATGTGGTACAATTAAAAGAAGATATAAATGATATATGCTATAGGCAATTAACTATAGAAAGAAATACCTGTTCAAACAAGATACAAGATATAAGTAATTGTTTCCAGTTAAATGCTATTATAGTTATGGTTACTGTATCATATTATATATTGTATATATTATAACTATTATAGTTATAGTTTTAGCTTGCAGAGAAGCCCTGTGAAAATCAAGACGGAGTTACTTAGGTTCAAATGTGAACTATAACAGGATAAACTCCTTGAAGTTGGGAACCGTGGCTACTATATTCTTTTACTGAGGGTAGTGCAGTGTGCTGTGGAGTAAATATCTGTTGAGTGATATATCTGGAATGAGAATCTGACCTTTTGGGGTTGTTTATGATTTAGGACTAAAGACCTTGCCTTCGAAAAGTGAAATGATGGAAGAAATCACTAAAACTAAAGAAGAAATGGCTAACAGGTAAGAAATTTCAAAAAAAATTTTCACTTCCCGCCTATCAGACCTTGGGCAAGTCACAACTTTTCTGGGTCTCACTTTCCACATCTTTAAAATTAGGAGATTGGACAAAATGATCTCTAAGGACCCTTCCAGTGCTAACATTTTATGAGTCTATGGGATATGTATTCATTTTATTACCTATGTAATTTAGATCTGACAGGAGCAATATTAAATTGGCTCCTGATGACCTTATGGTCCAGAATGTTGTCTCTATCAACCTAGTTGTTTTTTAAAATATAGACAAAATAATAGTTTGCAGTACAAAGAAAGGTCTGGTGTAATTACCAACAAACTCAGGAGGAATAAAGGAAGACAGGTCTGAGAAGTTTCTCAAATCCTGTACCTGAAATCCATGAACAAGGGTGAGAGGAAGAAATGAAGCAAGTAATTGTGGTTATGTTTTGCCTGCAACAATATTGCTCTGTTGAGGTAGAAATGCCCGAGGCAGTAAGGAGTATGGTACTAGAAGGGGATAAAACGGAGACTAGAAAGACAGATCTCCAAACCCCTTCCTCAGTAGCTCTAGTGCTGCTCGTTCACGTGGGCAAGCTGCTTATGAGGGTAAGCCAGGCATAAAGTGCGGGCAGGCTGGAAGGTCTAATTCAGCAGGGACTCCCACCTGTAACTTACAGGTATTTTCATCTAGCCCAAAGGGGAATTGGTGGCAGTCCTCTTGACTCTGTCTGTAGCTGCCTATTGGATATCTCAGATTAGATGTCCTCTAGATATCTTAAACTCAACATGTCCCAAACTGAACTCATTACTTTCTCTGCACACTGTCTCTACTTCAAACTTCTCTATTACTTTTAACACCACCATTCTCCCAGGTCCCCAGGCTCACAACCCAGGCGTCATCCTCAGTTCCTCACTATGTCTCACCATCCTGCCGCCCCAACTCCTGTCAATTTTACCTTTATACCATCTCTCTTCTATGTTCCTTCCTCCCCTCTGTCACAGCCACCCCTCCAGAGCAGGCCCTCCTCATCTCATCCCTGGACTATTGCAGTAGCCTGGGAGTGGCTGCCTCAAGTCTCTCCCTACTCCAAACCATTCTCCTTTCAGTCACTACAGTGATTTTTCTGAAGCACTAATCACTTCCCTCTTCAATACGGTCTGCTCCTTATGGTCTGCAGGATCAAATATAGGAGCCCGTGTGTTCCAAGCTCTTCATAACCTGGTGCTCTCCCCTCCCCCGTTTTCTAGTCTTCTTACACCTTATGCACCCCCACATACTCTTTGGCCCAGTGACACTGGCCTCCTGGCTGTTGCTCAAGTAAGGCACTCCATCTCAGCTTCAGGCATCTTCCCTGGCTGTCCTCATACCTGGAATGCTCTCTCTCAACTCATCTCTACTTCCTGGCTTCTCTGACTTTCTTCAAGTCCCAGCTAAAACCCACCCTTCTACAAGAAGCCTTCCTCAACCCCTCTTAATTCTAGTGGCCTTCCCTCTGTCAATTATTTCCAATTTTCCCTAGCTATAGTTTGTTTGTACATTATTGTTTGCATGTTGTCTCACCCATTAGATTTTGAGCTCCCTGAGGACAGGGACTATGTTTTGCCTTTGCATCCCTCACACTTAGCACAATGCCTGGCACATAGTAGGTGCTTAATAAATACCACCACCAACAATGTAGTGTTTACTATGTGCCAGGTACTATACTAAGTGCTTTACAAATATCACCTCATGTGATCCTCACAACAACCCTGGGAGGTAGGTACTGTTATTATTCCCATTTCACAGATGAGGAAACTGAGGCAAACAGCAATTAAGCAGTTTCTCCAGGGTCCCACAGCTAGTGAGTGTCTGAGGCCAAATCTGGACTCAGGTCTTCCTGACTCCAAGCCCCCTAGCTGCCTCAATGCTTACTGACTGATTGATGTGAATAATCAAACAGCAATAACTAATATGAGATAGACAATGAACAAATGAATAACAAGACACGGACAAACGCATCGTTAGTTCAGAGCAGAGAAACCGCTTCTCTCTGGGACAATGCTTCCTAGGACAGACAGAATTTGAGCTGAGCCTTGAAAGACATCTCGGAATCAGGCAGAGAAAAGTGAGAATAGAGGGTAGGTATGCTGGGCTTAAGCTACAGCGGGAAATCCTGGGACAGAGCTGAAGCCTTTCCCAACAACTTTTAAGCAAGCCCTTAGCCCATCATCCCTCCTTTCTCTAAATCTCTATAGCACCATGTGGTGTTCAGTTATCAGCCGTCTCCTGTTGTCTGTTTTCTGTGTGTCTGTTTGATCTCCCCAGCAAGGATGTAAGCTCCTAGAGGGTGGGATCCCTACTGTATCTCCCACAAGTCTAGGTACAGGGCTGAGCCCACAGTAGGTACCTGCTGATTGACTGGTTGGACTGTCTTCCTTCCCACAGGTACGTGGAGAGCCCCCGCCACACCATCCAGATGGACTACATGGATTATATGGAGGACCTTGCTGAGTTGGTGGGAGTGAAGCCCAACCTGCTGCCCTTGATCTTCACTGATCCCAAACTGGCATTTCATTTGTTCTTTGGACCGTGTACCCCGATCCAGTATCGTCTGCAGGGCCGGGGGAAGTGGGATGGAGCCCGAGAGGCCATCCTCACAGTGATTGACCGTGTCAAGAAGCCGATGAAAACAAGGGTGGTGGGGGAAAATAGCCACAGCTCCTCGATGATGATGGTGGTTGGCAAATGGATGCTGGTTGTAGTCTTCATTTCCATTATCGTAGCTTATTTTTAGCTCTGGAGCTCATCGCTGTAGCTTGATCAAAAAGTGCCTTCAGAATGCGAAAAGGGAAATTTGTGCAACTACTCTCTCCTCTTCAGCTCAGGGCTTTTCCTTCCACTCACTTCCATAACCTTTGGCTATTGTTCCTCTTTCCCGTTTTCGTTGGTTCATTTCCCTTTCTCTTTTTGCTCACTCTATTCTGAGTTTGACCCAAAGCCCTGAGGCAGAGCCCCTATGCCCACTTTGGCTGAGACAACATTGTCACATCATTAGTGGAGCTCAGCTGAAGTGATTTGTCCATAATACAGTCAGTAACTGTCCAAGAGGACAGTGAGGTGGCACGGTGGATGGAACACCAGGCCTAGAGTCAGGAAGACTCATTTTCATGAGGTCAAATCTGTCACACACTTACCAGCTGTGTGACCCTGGGCAAGTCATTTCACCCTGGTTGTCTCAGTTTCCTCATTTGTCAAATGAGCTGGAGAAAGAAATGGCAAACCTCTCCAGTATCTTTGCCAGGAAAACCCCAGATGGGGGTCATGAAGAATCGGAAATGACTGAACAACAACAAATTGTCCCAGGTATCAACTGCGACCACAAAATTGACAGGGGCCAATCTGTGTCCTGGAATTTGCTGAAACCCAAATAAGAGATTCATCTAGCAACGCTGACGCCCCTGAGGTTTTGTGATAAATTTTCCACCTATCACAGTCAGACCTTTTGCCCCTTTCTGACAGGCTTAACAAAGATGATTGAGACAAACTGTTGCTTGAGCCAGCTCAGGCTAATAGCATTGTCTCATTTAACCAGGATGAACATGAAAGACATTAGAATTAGCCAGTGCAGAGGAGAATGCAACATCTCTGTTTACTTCCCTCCCATTTGAGAAGACCACATAGGACATCGACCCAGACGTTCCATGTATTCTCAAGAATAAAGAAGGGAGGTATGAATGAGGGACCCAGATTTGAGTCCTGGTCCTAACTCCTTTTTATTCACCATCATTAGGCAGAATTTTCATCACTGAGCCGGGCTCTCTCTGCCTCCCTCAGGAGGTAACTGATCTTTCACAGATCAATGAGCCTTCTTTAAGAAAGGATTTCCTTCCACATCCCATCATGAGCTGATTTTTTTCTTTGCAACAACTCTTGTGCAATAACATGTAATACCTGGGATCAGTTTAACCTGGACTGGTGAAACAAACAACACTATTTGCAAATGCTGAAGAGGTGGCTGTTCTGGAGATTACTGGAAGGCAGAGTTACAACTTCTTGGAATCAGAGCTGGCCTGCCCTTTAAAGATTTGCCTTTTCTTCTGTCCTTCATAATCTGGGGATAGCCTTTCTCAATTACCTTGTGTAATTTTCATTTGTTTCTTTGGTTTGTTTTTTTTTTAGGCAATTGGGGTTAAGTGACTTACCCAGGGTCACACAGCTAGTAAGTAGTGTCAAGTGTTTGGTCTGAGGTCAGATTTGAACTCAGGTCCTCCTGACTTCAGGGCCAGTGCCCTATCCACAGCACTACCTAGCTGCCCCTACCTAGTGTAATTTTCTAGGCTGATTTATATAATTAGGAAACAAATTGTATCTTAGCTCTGTTTACCTTTGTTCTACATTTTTGGAGCTATCTTTTAGTGAGTAAATTAGCCTGATTAGCATGTGCTAAAGTGTGGGTATCTTCACTTAAGGGAGAGAATACTATTCCTGCTTGGAACACTATTCAGAGCTCCTCCTCTAAGGATTTTCTCCAAAGCAGCAGTTCTCAAAGTATGAAAGTGTGATTTGGGGAACTTTGAAGGCCCCTACATCCTTTCAGGGGGTCTGTGAGATCAAAATTATTTTCCTAATAAAACCAAGACGTTTTAATTTCTAATATGGTAAATACTGAGATTTTATTCATATGTGTACATATACATGTGTGTGCATATATGCATGTGTGTGCATTTACATGTATATGTGTGTATGGAGAGAGACAGAGACACAGAGAGAAATAGAGAGACTTCAGATCTGACTTTAGATGATACTTACTAGTTGTATGAACCTGGGCAACTTTGCCCTGTTTGCCTCAGTTTCCTTATCTGTAAAATGAGCTGGAGAAGAAAATGGCAAGCCTTTCCAGTATCTTTGCCAAGAAAACCCCAAATGGTGTCATGAAGAGTTGGACACAATTGAAACAATGGAAAAACAAAACAAACACACATATACTTATGTATATTATATGTGATCTCAAATATGTTTATGTAGATGTATATATGTGTGTATATCTTACTATTTACCATATTATAAATTTATTACATTAGAAATTAGAAATATGTAATATATGTATGTATCTATATACATATATACACATATGTATCTCCCACATAAAAATTCTTGGGGAGTGGGAAGGGCTGACCATAATTTTTAAGAGGGTAAGTGGGGTCCTGAGACCAAAAAATTTGAGAAACACTGCTCTGAAGGAAAGAAGTTTCTTCTGGAACCATTAACTCATTCTCTTCTGAGAGGAAGGGACCACAGTCTTCTTAGAACTTGCCCATTTCAAGCTATAAATAAAAATAAATTAAAAAAACTTTGGTGGCAACCAAGGTATTTTCATCATAGAACTTTTATAGTTTTGTAATGGCAGGACTAATGGATATTAATATTATCTGTTCATCAGATCAATATGGCTTACTTTAGTCATGTAGAGGCTTTGTTGTTTACCCAATTATGTTTGATTAAAGCTGAAAAGCAAGTGCCGGGTTTTTGTTCTGGAATTGGCTTAGAGTCATAACACCAGCACAATTTCCTCTGTGAATGAGATACATTAGATATTTGATCTGTGTCTTTTTCCCCCTTTAATCCAAACTGTATAAATAAATCATAGTGAAATTTGTTTGGTATTTTTGTTCCCTATGGTGAATAACTCTCGATCACAAACCTCTTCTAACAGCTGGGTGGAACTGAGGAACGGAGGCAGACAGGAAGCGCAAGTGGATGGAGTGCTGGTCCTGGAATCAAGAAGACCTGAGTTCAGATTTGTCCTCCCACACTTACAAGTTTCTGACTCTGGGGAAGTCACTTAACCTATTTGCCACACTTCCCTCAGCTGTAAATGGGGATAATAACAATACCTCCCACCCAAGGTTATTGTGACTATCAAATGACATAATAATTGTAAAGCATTAGCACAGTGCCTGGCACATGGAGGGCACTATGTAAGTGCTTATTCTCTTCTCTTTCCCTTCTCATCTATGAAATCCTATTCAGTAAATGTTTGTTAAGCACCTACTGGGTACAGAGCATGGTGCCAGGAGCTGAAGGGAAGTCCACAATTTAAATTAAGATACCATCACTGCCATCATGGACCTCAGAGTCTAGAAGGGGTCTATGCCACATATACAGATAACAAAGGGTAACGCTATGATGAGAAAAACACTATCGTTGAATCTCAGAGTTGGAAAGGGCTTCAAAGATGGCCCATACCTCAGAGCCTAGGCCCCTGCCTGAACACACGACACTACAATATCCCCTGCAAGTACTGGTCCAATGTCCCCTGTCTTGAAGACCTCAGTGATAAGCAGCCCCTTGTCCCCAAGGGAGCCTGCTCCTCCTTTGGACACTTTCTTTATTAGGGCGTGCTTCCTTAGGTCCAGTCAAAAATCTGGTTTTGTTTGTTTTTGTTTTGTTTTATCAACCTCTACCTACAGCTCCTTGTCCTTCTGACCTCTGGGACCAAAATAGAACAAGTCAAAGTCCTCTTCTGTGGCATGAACACAATTAATATCTCCCTTGGTACAGTGGATAGAGCACTGGGCTTAGAATCAGCAAGACTCATCTTCACGAGTTCAAATCTGGCCTCAGACACTTCCTAGCTGTGTGACCTTGGGCAAGTCACTTCACCCTGTTTGCCTCAGTTTCCTCATCTGTAAAAGGAGTTGGAGAAGGAAATGGAAAACCACTCCAGTATCTTTACCAACCCCAAAAAGAGATCATGAAGAGGCGGACACAACTGAAAACGACTGAACAGCAACAATATTAGATTTAATAACTCTGGAAAGCGTGGTTTCAGTTGAATGATGACTGCAGAGAGTTATGAAAAGATTGAAAAGAAAGAAGGTGGAGGCATCTATTGCAGACAGTCTTCTCAAGAAATTTAGCCATGAAAAGGGAGAGATATGGAACAATAGCTAGAGGGGATGAACAGATCAAGGGAGGAATTCCTGAGGATGGAGAAGACATAAGCATGGTTGTAGGCAGTAGGGAAGCAGCCATTAGACAAGGAGACCTGAAAATAAGTAAGAGGGAGCATGATAGAAAGAGCAACAATGTACTAGACAACATGAGATAGGATGAGATAGGATCGCTTGTGTGCCTGGCAAGAAGGGCCACCTTCTCATGTAAGACAGGGGTGAAGAAAGAGATAGTTGGTAGAAGGCATCTGAATTATGTGAGATGAAGAGGGAAGGAGAAGAGGGAACTCAGCAAGTGGTTTCAGTTTTTCAGTGAAATATAAAGCAAGATTCTCAGCTGAGAGGATGGGAAGTGGAGGAAGCCCAGGAGGATGGTGCTGTCATTGACAGGGAGTCTAGGAATGGAGGTTGGTATAAGATTGGAGGCATTGTGCAAAAGCCTGGAGGTCTTCTGGGGAAGATGTCTGAGCAAATAGGTCCTTCCTAGCAGGAGCAAGAGGGTGACAGAGGTCCAGGAGACTCAGTGGAAACCAGTAGGCTTGTTAACCCCTAAGTGAGAATACAGAAAATGAAGCAAGTTCATTGGGTTGTGAGTATGTGTACCTCTGTGCCTGAACCTTGCTAGGAGTTATAGCCACATCTTCTGTTCTGCTGTCAAGAAGACACAAAATCAGAGAGACACACAGGCCAGGACTAGTATGGTAAGAGGCTGAGTGATGGTTTTTTAGGAACTTGAGTTCAAATCTAAGCTCCGCTACTTACTGCCTATATAACCTTGGGAAAGTCTCTTCCCTTCAGCAGAAAACTGGGAAAGAATTTTTACAACGTGTCTCCGATAAGGACCTCATTTCTAAAATATATAGAGAACTAAGTCAAATTTATAAGAATACAAGTCATTCCCCAATTGATGCATGCTCAAAGGATATGAACTGGCAG